ATGCATTTTAAATAATTGCTAAAAGCTTCATTGGCCAAAAAAAGGAAACAAATTTCCTTGTTTTTTGATCCTGACACAAAATGACCAGCTAACATTAATTGACTAATCATATCAGCAGCACATGTGAAAGTGTGAATGAGTACTAGTCAGGTGAAATCACTATCATACTAATTAGATTGTAAGAGCAGACTGATTGCTATAAAGGAGGAAAGAAGTGCTTCCAATCATTGTGTTCTTGTTAGCAATGGTTAGCTCCAAAAAACACATGTGCAGCCATCATCGCTTTGCATCAAAATGGCCTCACATGCAAGGAAATGGCTACAACGAATACTGCACCTGACAGAACCATTTACCGCAGTGGTCACCAACCTTTTTAGGCTCGAGATCCCTGACCTCGGCCTTTATGAAAGACAAGATCTACCTATTGAAGAATTGATAGAAAATGACATACCAGATTGTACTTCAAATTTGAGGCCTTTTACTTAGCTATGACCGGCGCATCACTAATTAAAATACTGATTCAGAATTCAGATTTTCTTTTCTTTCTTTTTTTTTAACTAGCAAATTGGATTCTGATACTGATACTGATTTTTAAGCAAATGTAGGTATTGGCTATTTGCTTTTGTTTTTGATTTGATTTAGATTCATTTCAGGATTTAAAACAAAAACAGAATGGTCTGACTTTAGGTGTTATTTATTTATTTGCTACATTAAACATCTGCGCAAAACAACAGCAGGTCTGAATGAGACGCACTCTGACAGCAGGTGCCACTAATGAACAGGGTTGCCAGGTTTTCTCAATAAAACTAGTCCAATCGTGTTTCGAGGGGTTTCCCCTGTAAAAATTGCATTCAGGGGTAAATTACACGTTTTTCGGCGGGGATCTTCCAGTAAAATTCACATTCCAGGGGCTAAATATCATGTTATTGGGGTCGCTTCAACCCGCGGACATGAACAACAAACAACCCGTGGCAACAGTGTTAAAGTAGCCCAATTTCGCGGGAAAACCGCGGACTTGGCAACACTGCTTATGAACCGACCGCAATCAGATCATCAAGAACTTCAAGAAGAGAGGTTTGACTGCAGTGAAGAAGTCTTCAGGAGGTCCCAGAGTGTCCAGCAAGCGCCAGGACCATCTCCTCCTGAGGAGTCAGCTACAGAACGGGGACCGTCTCCTCCTGAGGAGTCAGCTACAGAATGGGACCAACAAGGGTCAACACTGTAAATACTGACTCATATGTATTTGCCAATAAAAGTCTTTAAAATGTATGATATGCTTATTATTGTTTTTCAGTATACCATAGAAATGTGGAAAAATAATCTACAAATACTGAAGCAGCAAACTTTGCAAAACACAAAATTTATGTCACTGCCAAAACTTTTGGCCATGACTGTAGAGCCTCTTACTGAATTATCAACACAAGGAAGACACAAGTGTAATAACAGGAGTTTTATTAACAAAAGGATAAGAGTAAAGTGCAAAAGATTGATAGATGCAAGTGACTGAGCTGGATGTTACTGTAGCAAATTAGCTCAAAATGGGAAATATTTATAATTAATTACGACTAGTTATAATTAATTATAAATATTTAGATTAGATCTCAGAATTAACTGTAGCAGAATCAGTATTACAATTATTTAAAATGTTTGTTTACCGAGACCGTATAATCATTTTTCAATTATAGGAAAGATTATCTTCCTGGCCAAGAAAGAACAGCTTTCCTACTCTATACAGTACTAGCAGTAACTTAGCATGTAGCAAGATCAACCCTCAGGGACTCTGAACTGTGAGAAACAGACAATCGCTTGTGAATATAAGGAATTTAATAAATGAAACTAGAGCTAACATACAACTAAACTGAGCAAACATGTACATATAGAGAGGATGGAAGTAAAGAAAGGGAGAGAGAGAGAGAAAGAGAGACAAAAGAATGGCAGTATTTAACATCAATTAACCACAACCTAATGAGAACCATCAGAGAATCACAATCACCTTAAAAAGGGGCCCAAACTTAAACACGCATCTAAATAGTTGGAAACAGTTACCATTGGGCTCCTCTCCCCCTCCATCTTCCCCTTGGTCCTCGGTCGCTCCGGCTCCACCGCGGCCTTCCGGATCCCCTGCACTTCGTTCGCCAGAGCCATAGGCTCTGTCATGGTCCTCCATTCCCTCAGTGTCACCTTGGCTCTACGGCTCTCCGCCTCTGCCTTGGGCTCCTCTTTCCCTGGCTCCGTCTCCGTCCGTTGGACCCCTGGCACCTCCAGTTCCACCCCCTTCATGGTTCCTGCCTCCGTCAACTCCACCGTGGACTATTAGTTGGAATTTTTGTTATGAGCGTCTGGAAGCCGCTCTTGGGGGGGGGGGGGGCTCCACCGTGGACTATGAATTGGAAAGTCTGGTTTGAGCGTCTGGAAGCCGCTCTTAGGCGGGGGGCACTGTCACGATGTCAGTCAGTTCTCACCATGGACTACATTTCCCACAAGCCCCATACCTGGAACTAATTATACACACACCTGTTCTCCATCAGGAACACTATAACGGTTACTCACTCACTTAAACTCACTGCAAAGTATTGTTTGCCTGTGCTACATACGTATCATGGAATCTCAAAACAAAATAGTAGATCCAAGTGCAGCTTTATTCCTTGTTTATTTCACAAAGCAAACTGCAAGAAAACAGTGAAACAGAAAAACAAAACGTAACCGGTTCAATAGTGCAGCAACAAAAGACTAAGTGAGCATGGTATATATTAGGGTTGGGTATACTGGTGCCAAATCGATACTTTTAAAATGATTCCGGTGCCTGAACCAATACTTATTAAAAAATAAATAAATAAAAAATCCCCCCAAAAATGATGGATTGGCCATTAACAATTGCACTCTCTATTCTATTTCTATTCTCGAGGGTCAAGTTTTTTAATTAAAAAAAACAAGCAGATAAAATTAGAAGTAGCATTAGAATAGAGAGTGCTAGAGTTAGAGGGTCAAATGAAGATGAAAGAGATGTGTTTTCAGCCGTTTCTTGAAAACATTAA